GCTGAAGTCTCTGGCTGACCTGGCGAGAACAAAAGGAACAATATTTCCCCATCCCTGTGTGTTCTCTGCAACAGAAGAAGAGCTGGGGTCCTTCATAACACAAAGGGCTCAAACTGGATCACAAAAGAAGAAAGAGCGCAAGAGGGACATCAGCCACAGTGCTAGGCTCAGGCCCCTTCCACACAACTGAATAAAATCCCACATTATCTGCTTTGAACTGGAATATATGGCAGTGTGGACTCAGATAACCCAATTCAAAGCAGATATTGTGGGATTTTCTGCCTTGATATTCTGGGTTATATGGCTGTGTGGAAATCCCTCAGAAATCCCTCCTGGGTCCTGGTTAGTTTATTTCAGTCAGCACAGATCCAAAGGGAAACTGCTTCCAGTACTGCGACAATCCAGGATTGGGGATTGTGTGGCCCAGATGTTTTGGATTACATCTCCCATTGGCCATTACCAGTATAGTCCATGATAAGGGATGATGTGAGTGACACTCCAGCAACATCTATAGGGCTCCACTCCTGCCAAGAACACTGAACCAGGAGAACCATCTTTAACCTGCAAGGTTAAACATAACATAACAAAACCCTCCTAAAATATGTTTTCACATTTTCCACAGAATAAGTTTATTTCCCGAGGTTTCAAGAGATTGTGGCAAAAATCAGCAGAGATAGAACCTTTGGGACAATTAATACTGGAACAGGTTCAGAATTCTGCGCTGCTTCAATATTCATGAGTAATTAGTAAAGCTTATTCAGGGAAAAGAAACACTTTAATAACTTATATGAACTTTCAAGTTGATTCTGACTTGTAAAGGTTTTCTTAGCAAGATTTGCAATTGTCTTCCTTTAAAATTGAAAGAATATGACTTCTCTGAGGTTACCCAGTGGATTTCTGTAGCAGAGCAGCGGTTCAGATGGGGCTAAGATGGGTGTCAAAAGACCCTATTTTCTTAGCACATGTATATGTAAATGACTCCGGCCCAATTTACCTGTCCGAACGTATCCTCCCCTATGAGCCATCAAGATTACTAAGATCGTTTGGAGGGGCCCTGCTCTCGATCCCACCAGCCTCACAGGCGCGGCTGGTGGGGACGAGAGACAGGGACTTCTCGGTGGTGGCCCCTCGACTCTGGAACACCCTTCCACTGGAGATCAGAACTGCCCCTTCGATCTTAACGTTCAGGAAACAGGTGAAAACCTATCTTTGGGGATTGGCATTCAACAAATGAGCCATGATCCTGTGATATGGATGGATGACGAATAATGACTTTGATGACGACTGACCACTGTAATAATATGATTGTATTTTTGCCATTTTAATTGTTTCAATGTTTTAATGTTTTAGTGTGATTTAGAAATATGATGTTTTAATGACGGTCTGTAATATTGATGTTGGAAACCGGCCCGAGTCCCTTGAATGGAGGTGAGAAGACTGGTATACAAAACTACAAAATAAATAAATAAATAAATAAATTCAGTACTCAAACCATTATGACACACAGTCTCATACCAAATATCTTAATTACTCTAGCTTAGAGTAACTAATATGATTCCAACCAAAATTTCTGTTGGGAGAATAGGTACCGCAGTGACTGTGGAGTGATGTCCTGGAGCTAAGATGGGTGTCAAAAGACCCTATTTTCTCAAAAGACATGTACATGCACTTTTCTATATGCAACTATAGCACATTCATCATTTTAAAATGACTATCTTCTTCCTTCTGTCCATCCATATCTGATCAACATAAGTAGCTGATAGAAGGGAATATGGAAATATATTCATGACACTGCTGCCCATTCTACTCTGCTCAGAGGAGGGGGAAATTACCCTTGAGGGGCTGCTTGGGAAAGCAGTTTTCATTGTTTCACATCAATCATTCTAGGATATATTTAAAAGAAAAGGAATTTACATACCAGGCCATATTTAGCATTTTCCTCACCCCCTAAACAATGTTTTCAGTGGCCAAAGGCTTCATCTTCCCTTCAGTGACAGTTTTAAAAAGTTTTAGACAGTAAGAAGAGAAAGCCATATTACAGATTGATTGATTGACTAAATAAAGACAGCTGTGGACCTAAGCAGGGTTGTTAAAAACAAGATCTTCAGGTCTTTCATTCAGATTTTACCATGAGACAAAGATTACCTAATGGTACAAAATAAGACATTGTTTACTATTCTGCTCAAGCCAAAGGATATATAAACAATAAAAAAGAAGAAAATGTGCATGGGAATTGTGCCAAAGACAAATGGGGCGGTCTATTGGAGCCTTCTTTGAGTGGCACTGTAGTAAAAATATAGGAATTTCTTTTTGGTACAAGTTTATTCTCTGATAATGATATCATTTCAGCAGATCTTTGGGAAATTCAGGAATTTACAGCAAAATACATGATGCATTTCCAAGGCAAAGTATAGATAACAGTGTGAAAATTTGAAAGATTAGCTTACTATGGTCTTGGTGAAGCTTGATCTGAGCCAATGTATGATTGAGCAATTGATCTGAAGAGCAAATGGGGCTGGAGGAGAGTCTCCAGATGCTATGTTCTGCAGTTACTAATGTCTTCTTTTGGGGAGAGTTGTAGTAAAAGACACATTTTATGGGCTTGCTTTAAACATTTTCCATGTGCCTATTAAACTCCAGTATGTACATCCATGCCATATCACTTCTGGTTCCTATATGTGGTTGCACAACCTGAATGTGAAGAAAATTGACAGGAAGAGAATCAGTTCATTTGAAATGTGTTGTTCGAGGGCTTCTACGGATGCTATGGACTACCAAAAAACAAACAAACCCCAAACAAATGAATGGATCAGAGAGCAAATCAAGTCTGAATGTTCACTGGAAGCCACAATGATTAAACTGAGTCTTTTATATTGAGATGATATGGCTCATTAGAAAAGCAATAGTGCTAGCAGTAAAGCTGAAGTGCAATAGAAAAGTTGAATGCAGTACAAAAAGGAGAAAACCACAACACAGGTGGATTGGTTCAAAAAAGAGCCCATGGCTCTACGTTTGCAGGACTTAAGCAAGACCGCTAATAATAGTGTGTCTTGTAAGTCTTTCATTCATAAGGTCAGCATAAGTTTAAGCCAACTTGACAATAAATATTCAACAGACCCTTTTCTAGCTGCACATGTCATACAGATAGACATACACCAGGACTGTCTGTCTCAGTCTTGTGAGTAAAGATGTTGGTAAGTGTAACTGTCGGGGCAGTCCTGTAGACAGGACAGATTCCTCTCTTTGGCCATCAGTTCCCAAACTGACTGGCATGGCAATGTGATACCAAACAGTTGTGCTAAAGAAAGCAATGGGGTGGTAGCTAGCATTTGCACTGGGAAAAATGTATTTATTGGCTAGGCTCTTGGAAACTAGGAAACGGCGAATGTATAGCTACTATTGAAGTGATTATTTGTTCTATTTATATTCTGCCTTTCAAGTAATCCTAGAGAAGATAACAATAGTGGTGAAACAAATTAACAATAATAGACCACAAAAAACACCAGCTACAAACAAAAATATTGACACAAAGGAGTATCAACAGTAGATTATGTTATATAGATGCTACTCACAGTGCATTAATGAACAGCTGAGTCTTAGCTTGATGCCAAAATGTCAACAAAGCTGGCGCCAGGCCCACCTCTAGAAAGCGAGGAAGAGTGCCACTGTATACAATACCATCTGTCATATCACTATGTATTATATATGTCAAGAAGGGCCTGCCTAGTCCTTGCTCCAATAATGTTTGGCACAGGGATGGACATTCCTTCAGGGGTCTGGGTTTCATATCATTTTGGGCTTTGTAGCACATTAAATTCAGCCCGGAAACAGATAGGCAATCTATGTAGCATTCATGTTATGCTATCCTTAACAATTCTTCATATCAGCATCTTGACAGCCACATGTTTCACCATTAATTTATAGATTTTTTTAGACCAACCTCAAATACAACATATTACCATAATCACACCCCAAATGGCCAGAACATGAATGAAATGACTTGTCAGATATTATTAGACTGCAATTACCATGATGCTTGACCATTGCTGATTGAAGTTGTTGGGACTTGCAACATTTAGACAGCTTCATCCAGACTGCTCTTGAGAGTAGAAACAGGACTAATCTGAAGTATCCAATTTACCAAATGAAGTACTCTAGGATATTTAAATCCTGCTGTTTCAGATTTCCTAGTGAAGTACAGCCACCCCACTGTATCCATGAATTCTGTATTCACAAATTCAGCCATTCTTGGCTTGAAAATATTCCCCCTCCCTAATAAATTCCAGAAAGGAAATTTTGAGTTTGCCATTTTATATAAAAGATTCCACTGCAAATATTGGGATTTCGGTGTTCATGGATTTAGGTATTGGGGGTGGGGGGGGTGGGGTGGGGAGGTGTCCTGGAATCAAACCACAACTGGCACCAAGAGTCCACTGTACTTTGCCTTGGAAAAAGGGACGAGGGTAGTTTCTTTTAAACTGCCCTACAAGGCACTGAGGCAGACTATTGAATAGGATTCTGTTTACCCACAACTCAGTATTTTCTTTCACATTTTGCAATTACAATGCTATCATTGCACCATAAAGTCAGTGGCAACATCTTATATAATCCTGGCATTGCTCTTTTAAGGTATGGTCTTTAAAATCCTTAGTGAAGTAAGGACCCGGTGTCTTTGACCAAACCACAAATCCCATAATTCCACAGGATGTAGTAATAACAGTTGAAGTGGAATCATAGTGCTATAACTGTTTAGCATCAAAGAGCTCAGAAAATAGTATACTGTGCCTGGCTCAGAAGTTACCTTCTGTCACTAATGGCTGGGTTCAGGTTCATATGATTGCCCGTGGTATTAGCTCCTTTTACATGCAGACACACTGACTTACTTCAGACCTGTAATTTTTATTTAGCTGGCATCTGAAGGGTTAATCTTCTGGCTCTTTCCAAGACAGAGGAGCGCAGCAGTTAATCAGACTGGAATTTGGCGTAATTGCACAGTGACAGGAGTGCTTGATGGCTGCTGACCTTGAACAGGGATGTGAAATGGCAAATATTTATTCACATAGCAGCCGCTCTGCCTCTCTCCAGCTCGGCGCAGAGGTAAGCCCCCACTGCTGACTATCAAGGGAGAAAAGCAGCAAAAAGAAGTCCTATCTGGGACTGAAATAGCTGTTAGTTTAAGGTTGTTCAAAAGTAGGATGACAACAAAGGGAACTCCTTTTGCAATTCTCTCTTCCCTCTCCAACCCATTTCCCTCTTGTGGTATCTGAATATCAAACTGGGGACTGGGGCTGTCTCTTTAAAGACTGCTTTGTATTTAGAGTACTTCAAGAATCTTTTTGCGTAAGGAGTGGGATAAAAATGCTATAAACAAAATAAAGACTAATGTGGGAGGTCTCAGTCTAATTGTTGGTCCCAAGCAGAGCAGATCCATTGGATCGACTTCTGAATAATAAATAAACATTTATGTATAATCACTTGATTCAGAAGTGGTTTGAATCAACTTTGTTTAGGACTAGTTATCAGCCAGGGGCTAGAATAGCTACATTAGCCAAGTGTGACCCTAGACGTTGGATTGCAACTTCCAGCATTCCTCATAAGTACTAGGGTTGCTGAGAGTTGTCTAGACAGCTGGGCTCTACCTATGCTGTGGACAGACCTTGAGATGCCCCTACCTTCCCTGGGACTCCCACTTTATGAATATAGTTATGTCCAGAATAACTAGTGACTCTGAAAAGCATGATTTTCTCAGGATTATGCATCTGCTAAGTGCATTCCTGCCAAACCAAGAATTGGATTGTACAGGTGAAAAACATGACTGGCAAGCATCTGCTGGGTTTGGAAAATATAAACATCACCTTAGAGCTTATGAGTTGTTCTCACTTTCCATATTCCAGTAAATGTCTCCAGAATATGCCTATTATGTAGAAAGGTAGTAGGGAAATACGTATTATATGATATACCCATGTCATAGAGAGTGTGCTGTCTAGTGTCCAGGCTGGGAGCCAACAGGTTATAGTGATTTGAGCATTGGACTGTGACTCTGGAGAACAGAGTCTGAATCCATACTCAGGTAGAGAAACCCACTGAGGGACCTTAGGCTGAAAGAGTATGACTTGCCCAAGAGGAAGGCAAAGCCACTTTGAACAAATCTTGCCAAGAAAACCCCCTGAAATGTCTTAGGATAACTGTAAGTTGGAAACAACTTGAAGGCACACAATGACAAGAGGTACAGACAGACTTTCTCTTATTTTCATGCCTGTGAGTTCACACCTCAAGCTATATGTATGACCGCAGAATGCTCTACATTCAGACCACACCACATATGTATGTTCTCTTACATAAAATAACCCCTGCACACTGGAGGCTGGAACCAACATAAAAGAAAGGTTCTAGCCTAACCCTTTTCCTGTTCTGCTGCTTTGCAGATTGCAAGGAATTTTGAATAATCTGTAGCCCAAAGCAACTGAGTTTGAAATAGTGTCAGAACTCTCTCTTTCTGCTTAGTGTCTAGACTTGTGCTCACATTTAAATTTCCATTCTGCAAAGGAACATCAGTTCTAGTGGCTGATTTAAAATAGGCATTTTAGAGCATAGTATTTGAAACAAACAAGAAAACTAATAGTTGTGATGTTCTGGAATAAAATAAGAAATAACTGACACATTAGCTGTCAGGCATTTCTGTTTTGGAAAGGTTAATGAGAGAGAAATGGTTATCCAGAGCTGTCATTGGTTGCATGGCTTTTTAGTGTAGTGCATTCCCAAATATGATTTTTTTCAGTCTTTTGCCCTCCAAGATACTAAGGAGAAAATTCTTAGATAACTCTTCGAAAGAAAAAGCTTGTTTGAGGAAAGGTTGATGATTACAGGGGATGCATTTCAGGGTCCACTACTAGAAGAGGGTAAGCCAGATGCCGTTTCTTTATTGACTCAGGTGAGGCCTTTGGCAAAGTGTTCGCTGTGCAAGTCTCTTTTCTGTTGTAGGATTACCTGACTACCAAAACAGACATTGCTCTCTGCTGCTCTATCTCCAAATATGTTTCAGTCTCAGACATATCTTGCTATATCTTAACTCCTGTTACAGCTTAGCTGTGCATTTCTAGCAGTCAAGGTTTGGGCCACAGCCAAGCGTTGTCTTAAATGTTACCAGAAAGAGGTTGGCGAGGATTCAGCAGTAATTCATTGCAGACCCCATATACATTCAGCTAGGGATGGCAAGCAGCCCCTTTGGGACCCTGACAGAGAATTTAAATTAAAAATAACAGAGCTGGAAAAATAAAATTCTTGACATATATGTGGATATTAAAAAATGCCACTCGTTTCTTCTAATAGAGATCAATAGCCACATTCTTCATTACGAAGACCACAAGCATAGCAATTATGCTTAAGAACTGCAATTACACTTAAGAATAGCAAGACCAACTCTGGTGCCGTTTTACTCCCACGTCTGATCACCTCACTTGTCTTGGTTGGGTCACAGCAAGACGAGCAAGAAGAGAATAACACAATTGGCTTGCCTTGACTCCAGGACATCAATTGGATCCCAGGAGCGGACAGCAAATAAAAATTAATAGGTTCCAGGAAAATATCACAACTGCTTAGGACAATCATTTTTGACACTGATTTTATTTGTGCATTTGCCCAGCTGGTGAATATCTTTTTTTTCAGTGTCTGAGGAAATGCAGGTGAGTGCTCTAGAATAGTAAGGGCAAGTAAAATGGCAGGGCAATGACAAGAAAATTGATCTCCTCAGGAATGGACTTACTCAATTCTATACAAAAGCCTGTGTAATAGAGTCATCAAGACTTTTAGGTGCTCAACTATTGGATCTTAGTTCTTCCCCAAAACAATGAATTGTAAACTATTAGACTGAACAATACCGTGATAAAGTCATTAAATGAATCCTAAATTATTGTACTGAAAGTTATCTTGATGAAGTCATTGAATTCACACTCCTTCTCTGAAGCAAAATTGTGTTAATACACATCACCCTAAAATTTATAAATATCTAGACATCAGCTCAGCCCACTCTCAGTTCATGCACAGTATTAACTGTACCATTATGACTTCTACAAACCACAAAAGGTTCTTATCTAATCTAAGAATTACTGTTTTATAGCCAAGCCTCTAATAACTCAGCATAAGGAGGAAATGGCTCAGGACCAAATCTGGGAGATGTCGGCCACAGGCCAACAATCCTGAGTTGGTAAAAGAAAAATTGGCTTGGAAGCTCTCCTTCCACAGTCACCACCATTGTTCTAAACCATTTTACAGCCAACGAACAGCCCAGAACTAAATATTAGCTTGCTAATTAAACTGATGTGATCCAATCAATAATGAAACGGAATTAAATTGTTGCTGTCGGCTCACATTTCAATGGGGGGGGGGGGATCAAAGAGCCTCAAAGGTTTGCTTGCCAGCAAAGGGTTGGGTGATACCTCAACACTTTCGGTGAAGACACTGAGGCCTCTTCTACACTCCCATATTGTTACTGAACATGACCACCCCCAATCCTAAATAAAAGGAGACATAGTTCCATCCCCGGGAAGTTAAAGTTTCCCAAGGATGAAGGGCAAAGGTCCATCCTTCCAGTGCTCCAGAACTGGGCTCAGCCCCAGATTCTGTGGAGAAGAAAGAGTCATTTGAGCCTAGCATCACCACCAGGAAGATGTGATGACTTTGCTAGGGACTCTCCTGACCTGTGAAGAAAGAGAGAAAATTCCTTCTCTCTTCCTAGCAAGAGGCTCTGAAGGGAGACCCCAAGGGGGATGCTAGGGCAGAGGATGTTATCCCCACCATGGAGGCCCAAAATTGGGATCCCAACACAGAAACAGATAAGCTGGCCCTGGAGGGATTCCACTGGACTATCCTGGCCAGTCTTCCCCATATGTATCCTAAACATCTGTGTCACAATAAACTTTATGATGTCAAGTAGGATCCAGAGTTCTATGGGTTTTATGAGAGGTTCTGCCAAGCAACCCACCAGTGATCCAGCCAACCTGAAAATGTTTAATAGTCTTTTCACTGGCAGGTTCACTCCAGACATCAGGGCCAAGGTCTCACAGCTTTAATTGGGTGAGGCAGAAATTTCTTGTTTTCTTCTCTGGTATCTTCACCCTGCTGATGCTCAGTTGCTGCTGGTCTTTTGGTGAGCCTTCACTCTTTAGAAGGCTCACCAAAAGAACTCGACTGCAGTAACCTTAGAACAAACTCTGGAGCAATTCCAGATACTCCCTCCACATCCTGTCTGGGAATCAAAAACGGGGCATAATCTGTGGGACAAAGAATCTTCCTGAATACCAGCGGGAGATCATCTGCCTGCCACCTAAAACTTCCCTTTTGAGGATCTTCGCTATCCATGGGACAAAGGTATAGGAAGAAACTTTGATTGAAATCTCATCACCAATAAGCATGTCCGGGACCCATTCTTTGTCTTTCCAGCATGGAAAGATGTCTGGAAATACAATGCTCATTGTCTTTCCATAATAATATCAATCATCTTATTGGACTTTCTTTGTCTCCAGCATTCCATTGCTACACACCCAAGGGTTGGTACAGCCCTGGAGACCTCTCCACCCCCAGAACCACCTCTGCTGGCTCATTGGAAGTCCCAGGGCCTCTTGGACCAGCTGGGAGGAGATCCCCAGCTGTGTCATTGCTACCTCCACCAATCAGGGTGCACACTGGCTAAGGCCTGTCTCCCCAACCAGTCAGAGACCTGGAAAATGCTGATTGACTTCTGAGCACTGATTAATCAGGGGAAAGGGAGGGAGGTTCAAAACAGAGCAATGTTAATGCATGAAAACTCTTGTGTATAAAAATGTCTGCTTTATGATTACGCTTTGCACTTGTACCCTTCAAGCACCTGTTGCTGTACAAGTGTCTCTTCTGCGCAGATTGAATAAATGCCTCCATTTTTTCCTTCAACCTGGTGAGTTTCCTGAATTTCACTCTGAAACATCTGCAGTTAGCGAAGCTTGCCAGGCATCCCTCGGTTTCCACAGGGCTTTGAAAAACCTCAAATTTCTGGCATCAATGCAATCCATTCCAAAGCAGATATTCTGGATTTTATATGGCAGTGTAGAAGGGGCCACAGATCAGTCGTGGCACACAGTTTTAAACGGCATTGTCACACAACTGCTGAGAACACTACACATCCTGAGGTCATGGGGAACTGTGTGTGATCCCATGGGAGGAAGCATGGAGTGCCTGTGGAGTAAGCGGCCTTTCCCTATTGGTTCTATGGCAACACAGGAAGCCTCCTGTGGTAGTGTGGTGGTGGCATGCACTGTCCCTGCCCTATTTCACCCATAGAGCTCCGCCAGCATCATTTGATGGGAGCCAGAGAGCTCTGTGGGTGAAGTAGGGAGGAACTGGTACCTGCCTCCAAAAAGTTCCCTCTGTGATGAGGTCGATAGAGAACACCATAGATAACTTACCTTTGGGTAAGCTGGCTTCACTGGCTCACCTCCAGCCTTCTGCTATAACACACTTGGAGATTTTTCACTATTTAAGATGGATTTGTATGTAAATCTACTAGTATCCTTTCCCCGTGTTCCTATACATCCTTGCCAAATGCCTGAGAGGGACATCTAGTTTACTCATATCATTAGAACTTGCTGGGGAAATTAAATGAAATAAAAACAAGAACTATTTATCATTAGTTTGAAAAACCTCATCCAAAAATGGATTTCAGGGTAGAAGACATAACATTCAATTACAAATTCAACACTGAAACAATAAAATAAACATTTCACAATATAATTGATGTGTCAGCAAGGATTACTCAGTGAGTTAAAAATAATTAAATCAACTTAATATATCTGGGATAATATAATAATGAAGGGCAAAATGTCATCCAAGCATAGAATTATAGAATAAGAGTTGGAAGAGACCTCGTAGGCCATCCAGTCCAACTCCCTGCCAAGGAGCAAGACAATCGCATTCAAAGCATGTCAACTTCCAGGCATACTAGCTTCCTAGAACAGTAAGAACCACCCATTGCCTGTTTTTGGGGGGCTCTGGTTCATTCTTTTCACTCATTCAATCTATTATAAAATCCAGAAAATGGTTCAGTATCTCCATGATGATCTCACCCTTTGATTTCCATGAAACAGAGAGGTAAAACTGGCTATGGTCAGAATGCCAAGGACACCTCAACTTCTGATCCCCTTCTGTACAGCTGTATAAAAGCCCACATTTTCTGTTGTGAACTGGAATATATGGCAGTGTGGACTCAGATAACCCAGTTCAAAGCAGATATTGAGGGATTTTCTGCACCAAAACGCAGCCCTTAGCTCATTTAGTAGGAAGTAAGTCTGAGTGATGTAGGGGTTTGAGGTTTAGACTACAACTCTGAAGACCAGGATTCAAATCACAACTCAACCACGAAAAATCCTGTATGACCTCAGGTGAAGATAATGGCAAACCTCTTCTGAATAAATCTTACCAAGAAAAACCTGTGATGAGTTCAACCTAGGGTCGCCATACGATGGAAATGACTTGAAGGCACACAACAACAAGCCTGATGAAACTAAGTAGAATTGTGTTCTCAGTAAACATGGAAATGACTTGAAGGCACATAACAACAAGCCCGATGACACTAAGTAGAGCTGTCTTCTCAGTAAACATATCCAGGGCTACACTATAAATGCCATCTTCCTATAAGTGAGCATTTAGACTCAAACTACTTTGTTTTTAGCCATTTACACTACAGATTCACCTGTGATCATAGGAAAACTCCATCACAAGCACAAGTCACAGATTGACATGTCATAAGAGATTATCCTAGAATGGGATGAGTGGCAACGACTGAGTTATGGTTTATCATTCTTTTGATGCAGCATTTATATGACTTCACAAGCACGACAGATTTGATGACAATCTCAGATACTTCTAGATTGCTATGACTTTTAATTCCCTGACTTGTATAGCAAAAACAAATGTGCTTCCTTTTATTGGGGTGGTTATGTGATTATATAATGCCATAAAATTGGGTTATTGAGGCAAAGAGGAGAAATCCCATTGAACTAAATAACATATCTAGGAATTCTCCTAAGTCTGACCTTAATAGAATAAAGTATTATTTCTTTCCTCTCATCCTATTTTTAGCAGAAATGTAGCAGGACTTTTTTCTACTTGGAAGTTCAAAATAAAATGTCCATATTTTAATTTGCAATAATTTTTAATGACAATATAATTGCAGTTAGTATTTGAAATGAACATGAAACTATTTAGAAGGTCATACTATTTTGTCGTGCTGTTTTCCCTTAAGACTGTGATCTTAAGTAATTGTTTCAAATAATATGTTTTAATTATGTGATTTTAAAGTATATGTTGTTTTATTTTTATATGTACTCAAGGCATTGAGTTGTGCCTTGCCATGAGCCTCTGAGTCCCCTTTGGGTGAGAAGGGTGGGATATTAATGCAGTAAATAAATAAATAAATAAGAACCTTTGGGGAATAATGTTGAAAACATTATTTTCCACTCAAACCTATGTTCATAATATTGTGGCTACTTAACAAGCAAGTTATTAATTTCACCAATGCACTCCAAAATAAAGCTGCCTTATTTTTATAATCAGAGTGAAAATAACTATTGTTGGTTGCTTCCCTATCTAGCCCAGATGTTGTGTGCCGGTCTTATCACATCACATGGATAATGTGAACTCAGACTACAATTCACAAATCATCAATATTACAAATTTGATTTTTCCAGACTGCTTTTAACATGTACTTTGTGTTAAATTAAATAGGTTTTGTACTTTAGATTATAGATCCATTAGATAATCTGAAGATTCGTTTGAACTATGTGACAACTATCTCCACTTGTACTACTCTGTTGAGAATGAGCTATTGTAAAATATAATATTTAAAGATACAGTATCTAATTCTGTCAAAAAAAGGAACTAGAAACTGTTTAATTTACAATTTTACGAACATATTATACTGTGCATGTATGTTTCGAAGTGTAATGACAGAGTAGAATGCTATAATTGTTTGCTTTTGTGTAGTCCCTAAAAATGTTTATGACCTGCTGGGCATGTTGTATGAATGCTAAGTGGAGCCTTAATATAGATCTCCTAAGGACTTCATCAGATGGGCAGGGATAAAATGAGAGGCAGCGGAGGAAAGTGGGGGATAGTGATTTCCCCCTTCAGATCTATCTTTCCCTGCTACCTCCTCGCACTGTGGGTTCCACTTCTCTCTGCACCACGGAGTCCTGCCTGAAGTTGTCCAGTGTCATGTGATGGGCTCCGTGTTCCAGCAACAGAGAGAAGTGAGAAGGTGCGCTTCTCCTTGCATCCAATTAGGTCCAAACTGTCATAATTCAGCAGGTACAGCACCTGTTAATCCTCTGCTAGTCCCCTTCAGCAGCTGCTTTAAAAAATGTCCCTGTTTATCTCTCCTTTTCCCATTTTGCCCACAAGTTGTTTGCACTCAGAAGAGGAAAAGGGGGAGGATTCTTGTCCTTCTTAAATTTAGTATCTAAATCTGATTATATCTGGTTCCAACAGAGCTCACAACTTCTGAGAATGCTTGCCATAGATGCAGGTGAAAAATCAGAAGAGAATGCCTCTAGAACATGGCCATATTGCCCGAAAAAACCTACAACAACCCAGAAAATCTGATTAAATTTGTCTGCTTAAAATACAGGCAATCCCCAATTTACAAATGACTCATAGTTATGAATGAGGGGGAGACAACAAGAAGTGAAAGAAAGCTACCCCTTTGGACCCTTCCACACAGCCCTATATTCCAGAATATCAAGTCAGATAATCCCACAATATCTGCTTTGAACTGGATTATGTGAAATTTTCTGCCTTGATATTCTGGAAAATAGGGCTGGGTGAAAGGGCCCTAGGAAGGGAAATTCACTCCTGGAAGACTTATCATGGGGAAAAGAGGTTGCCTCCACTGAAGCTTTAGCACCAATCCTTGTTTCCACAACAAGCCAAATTTTTCAAAATCCAATTATCACAGGGACAGAACGTAATGTGAAATCTTCTGAACAGGGACACAGATAGCAAACAAACACCACAGAGCTGTTAACCCTTCTCTGTGCCATCCAAAGCTAAGAAATATATATTTTTGGCTGGAGTTACATTTAAAAAATATACTTGTTCCAACCAGGCCCGTAGCCAGGATTTCGTTAAAAAATTTTCAGGGGGGGTTTCGGGGGGGGGGTGAGTTTCGGGGGGGGGGCTGAGTCTGAGTGAAAGTGGGTCTAGCCTAGCAAACCTTTTGTATCATTACCCCAATACCCCCATGCATATGGGATATATTGAGTATGGTGATCAGATCATGATATGAATAAACATAACAGTTTAAATAATGCACCAGTAAGGCCTTTTTACGAACCACCATGGGAATTTGGGGGGGGGGGCTGAAGCCCCCCGAGCCCCCCCCCCCTGGCTACATGCCTGGTTTAATAAATCATGGACAACAAGTTAAACATGAGCCAACAATATGATGTGGCGGCAAAAAAGCCAATGGGATTTTGGGCTGCATCAATAGGAGCATAGTGTCTAGATCTAGGGAAGTCATGCTACCCCTCTATTCCGCCTTGGTTAGACCACACCTGGAATATTGTGTCCAATTCTGGGCACCACAATTGAAGAGAGATATTGACAAGCTGGAATGTGTCCAGAGGAGGGCGACTAAAATGATCAAGGGTCTGGAGAACAAGCCCTATGAGGAGCGGCTTAAGGAGCTGGGCATGTTTAGCCTGAAGAAGAGAAGGCTGAGAGGAGATATGATAGCCATGTATAAATATGTGAGAGGAAGCCACAGGGAGGAGGGAGCAAGCTTGTTTTCTGCTTCCTTGGAGACTAGGACGCGGAACAATGGCTTTAAACTACAAGAGAGGAGATTCCATCTGAACATTAGGAAGAACTTCCTGACTGTGAGAGCCGTTCAGCAGTGG